AAGGCTTGATGCCGATTGACCGCTTCAGGGTTGTGTGAACACTTTTTGCTTTCTTGTTAAGAGATGGAACAAGTCTATCTTTGTTAATGTAAAAGAGAGAAAAGAGAAGCTTTTTAAAGATCTGGATGACATACAACACAAAATAATGACTACTAGTAGTATTAATTACAGTTCCAATAGTAATATTTTTACTAATAACTACGCAAATGGCAATGATATTCATAAGGAAGCTAGGTTAAATATGAAATTTTCTCTAGTTCTGCGTGAGGAGGAAGTGATGTTGGCTAAAAACTCCAGGGTTAATTGATTAAAGCTAGGGGATAAAAATACAATATTTTTTCAAATCAGTACTAGAATTCTTATTTTTATTTTTTAACAAATGATATTATCTACACTAAATGAAGGGGACGAGCTTAGCCTCACAATGGGCTAGCAAAAGAAATGAAGTCAATAAAATTAGGGATAATAATGGTTTCTAGTGGTATTTTGGTGAGAGTTTGGAGCAGGTTTTTGTGCAGGAATTCATGTACTGTTTGGTACGTGGGATGGGACGGAACGGAGTGAGACGAGGCGTTCCGTCCCATGTTTGGTGCGCCTAAAACTGGTGGAACACGTTGTTCCATGGGATGAGTTTTGGGTGAATTTTCGTTCCGCCTCACTCCCTCTGGAACGACTCGTTCCACATCTGTGGAACATAAAATTATAACATTTTAAGACAAAACACTCTTTCTTCTTTCCCCCGCCGCAGTCCTCACCATCCATGATTTTCTCCCACAAACCAGAGCTAGATAACAGCCTTTCGGTTTTGAACAAAGATCCCAAAGTGGGTTTTATCTCCTCTTCCGGTTCCTCAAAATTCTCGACCTTGGTTTTCGATTTCTTTCTGAGGCTTTGAGGTATGGGGGGGGGGTAGGTTCTTGTTTCTGGGTTTTTGTTGGATTTTGATGTCGGATTCAAGTGAGACTTGGGTTTTTGTTGGGTCGATTGTCGGTGAGTGAAAGGAAGAAGATGATAAGGAGATAGACCTGATTCTAGAGAGGAGTGGCTCCGGCTCCCTCTCGGAGTCTTTGGAGTGGGATAGCCATGAGGTCAGGATCGGTGCTGAGGAGCTTCTTAGAAGCATGTTTATGGCTTTAATGAAATAGGAGTTGAAAAAGCTGTCACATATATATATCGCCAAATCACCGATTTGAGAGGTACCCACTGGGTTTTTCCCGAAGATTTGTTCGAAGTCGGTCTGAAAGATTTCAACTCTCAGCCAACGGTGGGGTCCACATCCTAGCAATTTAATCCAGAAGATCCGCACATCATATTTTGGACTTGTAACTTCCTAAGATCCACATTATGCTCATAGAAGAACATATTAAAATCTCATCGTGATCCGACAGTCGGATCTCCACCAATCTCAAATTCAAGTGGTTGTCAACAATTAGTTTTACAAACTTAAAAATACAATTCGGGAATGTCGATATGTCAGATTCCCAATCCGTCAATTCTTACTATCCTCAAATATTATGTACTATTACGTATTTAAGTTTGGTGCCGATCCAACGGTCGAATCGTCAATTCATATAATAACCCCGTGGTAGCCAACTAGGTGTTAAACTACGAAACTATATTAAAACATCAGAATTCCACTAAAGCAAATGTCAAATATGGAATTGGTGCATCAAAATTAGCCAAGGATGGTCAGGTGAGGTCTCGGCCCACGTGGCAGCCGGCCGCCTCGACTTGCTGGAAAATCCACCCAATTCCAAAAATTACCAAAATTCACATAATTGTAGATTGCAATGAGTAGAACAAGTTTCATATCTATGACCAAGGCCAATTTGGTCAGGAAATGCCCTAATTTCACTCAAACCCGCTGGAAACCCTAGAAATGGGTGACTTCGATCCTTCACCTCCAGTGCTTCGCCGCCCCCCAAATCTGTTTGGGTTCCTGACCTCTAGAGGAGTGTTTTGTTGGTGGTAATTGAAGGAGATCATTTCACAAATGGTGGATCTCGGGCAAGGTTTCCCACGGCACCCATGGTGATTTTGCACCAAACTACAACCAAATTCCTTCTGATCTTGGGTAGAAATGGAAGAGGGAGGGTCGTGAAATGTTTTCCAAGTGGTATCTCAACTTAATTCGCTGGAAATTGACTGGGAAACCATCAGGTTCCATGGTTTCCACCGGTCGGATCGCAAGGGTCAAGAGAGACCTGGTTTTCCCCCTCCTTTTCTTCTCCCCTCTTTTCCTTCCTTTCTTCCCTTTCCCATTGGCCCATCCTCCTCCTCCTTTTTCTGATTGGCCGTCTCTTCCCCCTTCCTCTCTCCTTTCTCTTCTTTTCTTTTCATCCCAACCAAACACGTGGCACATCTCATGGCTCTAGAAAATATGAAGAATTCTAAATGAGGGTCAAAATTACAAGAATGTCTCTAACTTTAAACGTTAACAACTTTTTCGTTATAAATCGTTTTACGAATAGTTTGCGCCTATGCGTTCGTGTGATCGAGCTCTATTCGAAAATATAAATCATGACCTCGGAAGGTCTACGGATTTTAGATAATTAATTTCCAAACTTCAAACTTCGTAACTAGTAAGGGGACCATTACTTGAAGAATTCGATCGTAGACTCGGCTCCAACCCTAGTTCAATGAACAACAACCATAAATGCAGTTTCATTTGTCAATAACGATTACTGGGACACAAACACCATGGTATAAATGTCCAATCTGACTGTTTCAACAATTCCATCTAGGCGTTCGGGACTAATGGAAAGCATTGTCAACCAAGGAACTGAGTGTAAATCAATCAAAGATTAACCCCTTCAACCTTAACGATCAATTGACACCAAAATAATTTTTATTCACAAATTTCTGTTCAAAGATAAGATTTATTAGTGTCTATCAATGAACAATCGTCTTTGGGTGAATCGTCCCCCTTAGGCCTTATGAAACACGATGCAATCTTCTGAATTTCTTTCTCCTTATCTTAGCTTTATGTAGTCTCTTCGTCCTGGGTGTGGCTCGTTAGCTGCCTAATCTGTATCCAGTTTTGGAGCTGGTTGTTTGTTTAGTTTTTGGTCTCCTTTGGTGTATCTTTGCTCTGGTTCGGTCCTGTTGCTGACTTTTGGCTTGTAATGTAAATGTACTTTGACCAAAAAAAACAAAATAGTGTACAAAGTGTTTGAGGAAAAGTCTTAAAGAAATTTTTTTAATATGTTTACTCTAACTTGAAGAGGTCGCACTTAGTGCGATGGTAAGTGCCTTCGCCCATGAGCGGTAGGTCTCGGGTTCGAGACTTAGGAGCAGCCTCTCCATAAATGGGGGTAAGGCTAGCCGACATTCACCTCTCCCAGACCCTGCGTAAAGCGGGAGTCTTGTGCACTGGGTACGACCTTTTTATGTTTACTCTAACTTGGCAACAGGATATGTCTATCAAGTGTTTGTGGAAAAGTTATAAAGAAACCGTGTCAACTAACAAAGAAGTGTATGATTTTTTCGATGAGGTAACAAGTCTATCATAGATATGTTTTTACTTATTTGATGATCACGCATTTATATATTATTTCCATTTTGTTCGACTTCTTAATTTAATGTAGATGAATACAACACAATCTCGCATATCCTATATTTTGCATTTTGGTATTCCGTATGTGGTCATTAGCTTTTGCAGCTACCATATGCGAGGATGTGTTGGCATTCATCTATTAGATCAAAAAGTAGTAACAAATGAGGAAATGAGTATAGATAAATGATAAATGCGTGATCATCGAAACAAGAACAAACATATATATGAGGTGTATGTTACCTTATGATCCAAATATCATACACTTCCTTATTATTTGGCACGGTTTCGGTCAGTGTATCAAAAATCGTATTGTTCTTGAGAAACCTATGAAGCTTGTCATATTTTACAGGAGATTCTAGTCCATCAGCCGTAAGACATTTGGAATCTAGTCCAAAAATAACCCCTCAATCAACATAAAATCCAATATTTATTATCTTTTATATATTGTTGTCAAGTTAGAGTAAATAGATTAAGAATTTTTCTTTGAGGGTTTTTTAACACTTGTTAAATATATCATGTTGGCAGGTTAGAGTAAACCTTTTTTTTTTTAGGCTTTTCCCAAAGCAGACTTTTTTGTCGAAACAAATTTTCATTAAAAACCAAAAGCAACAACAAAAATCAACCGGAACCAAGATACAACCAACTACAACACGAAAAGCTAAATAAACAACCGGCTCCAAAACTAGATGGACTTGGAGATAGAGCAGATAAGATTTAAGAAAATGTAATTTACCTCTTTTTTTTTCTTTCTAATTTACTGCGAGACCATTATTAACAAAAGAGAAGATAAAATTTGAGAAAATGACCAATTTAGGGAATTTAAAGAATTATGTTAGTTTGTCCCCGTGATTACGGCTTTCCTGTTCAAATCTACTGTTTTTTAATGTTCAAATCTTCTCCTTTTTTTAATGCGGAAGTTAGTGTAGAATAACGTTTGGGCTAGATTAGGTGAAGAAAAAGGACTAGAATTCTCTTCCCTCATCTTTCCATCAATTTCCATCATCTTCTCTTACATTCTCTTATTTTGTCTTTCTCTTGCTGTAAACAATTAATATAAGATGTTGATGTGGCTTAACCGTGACCGTTCAAATATGAGGGGATGGAAGGGGTGGGGGAAAAAGAGGGGAGAGAATCCTACTCCGAAGAAAAATGCCCATATCTACTGGCGCTATGGGGATTTTCGAACCTCTGGGTTGGTTCAAAAAGAATAGTAGGTATAATGCTATAACAATAAGCACACACCACATTTCAACCTATGAGAGCAAGGTCAGAGAGAAAGGTCAAAGGACACCAACTGAAGATCCCCATTCAAAATACCAGGTTAGATATATACATGATGAATATGAACCACTATATGGATATGAATCATCATTTCAAGAATTTAATCTTTACATAAATTCTTCGTGTTAAATAAGGGGAAAAAAAGAAGCAGCAAAACATAAGAAAATTGCAATTTTTTTTTTCATTTCGAAAGTTTATATTTATTAGACATTGGGCATGAAGCAAACGACCCATATATGGCCAAATATATATAGTAACGTTATTACCAATTACATGGTCGATTTTATTAGTGGTTGTTGACGAAATTTTTTATCCCAGAAATTAGAGCCTCAGTTTGTTCAGCCGTTTGAGGATCCATATCCACCGCAATCTTGTTAAGATAAAAGCTATGACTCATCCCTGGACTAATCAGAAGCTCCACGTCCTTCTTAGCCCTCTTCATGGCGTCATAATATTCCATCTCTGTGTCTACTATCATGTCCATCTCAGCAATGCATAGAAGAAACGGCGGCAGCTTCAGAGTATCTAAAGACGGTGCTCTGGAGCCCATCGGACAAGTTATCGGATGGTCCTTAGTCGACCCCAATGGCAGAGCCAAGCTCAGAAACTTGTCCACCATGTCTAGGGTTAGCATAGGTGACTCTGGCTGCTCCAACTCCGACCTACTCCTCACTGATCGAACGAATCCAGGGTGGATAGGGATCCCACCTGCTAGCCTCAACGGACGCAAATCCACCTTCCCTGCTCGAGCGGCAACTTCATGTACGAGATTTCCACCCGAGCTGTCCCCTATGAGAAAGACACGGTTGAAGTCTGCGTGACTGACTAGCCACTGCTCGTATGATTCACCTTGTGCAACGGAACGAAGCCAGAGCAGCGCATAGAAGCCGTCGATGATTGGAGCGGGGAGACGGTGCTCGGGTGCGAGCCTTAAGTAGACAGAGATACAAATGGCTTTGGCTGAGCGTACGAGCTTGGTGTACATTTGGTAGTACATGTACCAATCAGCCTGGCTTATACAAAAGCCACCTCCGTGGAGATGAAGGATTACAGGGAGCTTCAAAGAATCATCGGGGTTTGTCTCCGGTAGATAAATTCGTAGCCGTAGGTTTTCGTTGACGCAAACATCTCGGGTGGCAACTCCATCGATGAATTCATCATGTGGTGCGACTGGCTCGGTCATGAACTGGACTTGAGGCGGTCCAGTCCATGTCCGATCAACTGAGCCATCGGCGAACACTCTCAGCCAACCAGACACCTCATCAACAAGAACCTTCTGGCAGACCATGGTTCATATATATATGGATATATCTAGATTACGTGATAATTCTTAGTAGTGCTACAGGTAGTGTCAGAGTATGTGGATATGAGACCTTGACACGACCCTTTATATAGGAGTTGGAAGTGTGTGGGAACTGAGAAGGTTGTCGGAAACTGGAAAGAAGATTCGACGCGGTTCAGTTTTTCAAGAATGGTAAGCTATGCAAATAAAAATACTAGGTCATCACCAACTCGATTAAAATAAAAGTTGACTTGATTGACGCCGATTAAATAAAAGAATTCGGATTTTCGCCGGATCAATTTTGTGAGGATTTAAAGATCCGTGAATCATTTCTGTTTATCATACATCGTACTATTAGAAATCATTTTAAATATTTTTATTTAAAATTAATTACAAACAGTACCTGACAAAAATTGATCGCACATTGTATGGTGAACGGACACAATTTACGAATTTTCATGATCCTCATCAAAAGGATTCGGGAGAGGATCTTGTTAGTAAATAAAAGCGTGTTCCTGGAATATTACATGTACCAATGGGCTGCATTCGCGCTGCTTATGCGTGTGGCACCATTGACTTGTGTACGCTACATTTACTATTCTGTATTTATAGTTTTGTATTATATTTGAGGGTATACACACATTAAATTAGAAGAAAACTAACGAAAAATTAAAAAAAAAACTATAGTTTTAATGAAGATGACAAATAGATGTGTAGTGAAAAGTATCAGGGAAAGGTAAAAATGTGGTATTTCGTTAAAAGTGAATAATACCGAAAGTGTTTCGTTAAAACTTTATATATATATATATATATTCTCTAGGTTGATACTGTAATTACCAGTTACGTAACCGTAGGGTTAGGGTTTGTGATGTGATGTCTTTTGGATTGTATGTATAGGAAACTTTGACTGAGGTTTCGTAGTGTGATCGTCATGTTATATATAATTATGTATAGCCATAATTGGGGTTGTTAATAAGCTTAGTTAGTAGAATAAAATTAGGATTTAGGCTTTAATAAACCCTAGATAAAAGTTAATTGTTAGGCCTGATCACTGGAGAAAACTTGTTGCATGGATTAAGGGTTAAGGGTTAAGTGTACTTATATTTGTACTGTGTGTGCCCAAAACGATGTTATTTTGTACTTTGAATTAATAAGAGTAGCTAGTGAGCTTTTGTCATCACTCCAAAAAGTCGTTACGTACTCTAAATATGGAAAATTCTAATAAAGAAAATAGACGTGAATGCTAATGACATTTTAATATACTATTGCTCTCCGCACATCTTTTCTTTTCTTCTCTTTTATTTTTTATTTACTTCCTAGGAATTTCTGATTTGTAGGAGAAAAGGTAGACTCAAATTTCACACAAGCATTTATACGTAAAACTTGTGAGTTTTTACTTGGCCCTCACACGCCCGTGCATGCAAAGAAGTCCTTCATTTGAAAGACTCGACTTTTTTACTAACATGTTTCGGGTAAGTTATGAATCGGGAAGGAAAAGAAGGAAACACATTAGAAGATAAGAATCGAAACAATTCAAATACTCATGTTTTAGCAAACATAGGGAAGCCAAAGATTACTCCATATAAGTAAACATCCTAGCATTTTTCAATAGTTTGAACGAGTTCAAAACAATGGCAGAGCTACACCCACGACTAAGGTTGGCAGTAGCCTAGGGAGCTTTAGTTTGAACTCTTGCTAATAGTCTATGTACTAACCTACTTTAACCTATTATACTTATACATACCCCACCCAATTCTAATAAAAACTATAAGTTAATACGTAATTAATGCAAGACTTTTTAAGGAAAAAATGAAATTGTATTACTTGTTATGTTAGTTTGGATTATTAGTTCAGATTTTAGAGTTTTATATTCATGTATTATTATATAATTTTATGTAGGTACGCAAAAATTTATGTTACTTTATGTTAATTATTTTAGTCTGCCCACCCAAAAACAATATCTTGGCTCCGCCCTTGGTTCAAAATTTTCAATAATTTCCCTACCTCCCTTTGTCTCTCCCCAACCGTCCCTCCCAAAACAAAACCGTAGATTTTCTGCAATCTAAATCGCCGACCCCTTGCTCTGACTTGGGGTCAATGGAGCCACTCCCTACCTTTCTCCTAGCCTCTCTCTCACTTCTTAACCCTCTGCTAACCCCTCCACCTCTAGTATTCCCTCCACTAACCTTCCCATTCACCTCGCTGCCTCCCTACCCCATGTCTCCCCTACCCTTCTTAACTTATGTAGCTCATTCTCTCTACTCCCTAGCTCTTCCCCACCATTTTGTGAGTAGCTCCTTCATGGCTTTGAGCCTCTACTCATATTTGGGCCATGCTCGTTTCAAGTTCTCTTTCTTTATTTGGGTGAGATTCATGGTTAGGGTAGGTTTTGTGGTTGCTAGTGGGTTGGTTCTATTGAATTTTGATGTATATTTGCTTGATGAACAATTACAAGATGAAACATATATATAGGGAAGAAAAAGATCATAAGCCTAATTTTGCCTAACTTACCTATCTTGCTTGACTAACCTAACTTGCCTAACTTTGAACAAGAAAGTTGACTAGCCTAATTTCACTAGTCATCCAACACCATTATTCCAACATGTTTATTTCATGCATTTTAACACTCCCCCTCAAGTTGGAGTGTGAATGTCGATGACACCCAACTTGCTAATTAAGACCTCAAATTGTGCCGAGCTTAGTGGTTTGGTGAACAAGTCTGCAGGTTGATTCGAGGTCCGTATGTAAGCTGTTTGCACCATTCCCATTTGAATCTTCTCACGTACTAGGTGACAGTCTATCTCTATATGCTTCGTTCGTTCATGAAACACTGGGTTCGAAGCAATGTGCATGGCAGCTTGATTATCACAAAACATTGTGACTGGTTGTGCATGATTTACTTGCAAGTCCTTCAAAATGTTTCTTAGCCATATAACTTCACAACAAGTAGTAGCCATAAAACGGTATTCTGCCTCTGCACTAGAACGAGATATTGTGCTTTGTTTCTTCGTTTTCCAAGATATCGGTGCTTGTCCAAGGAAGATACAAAAACCGGTTATTGACCTTCTAGTGTCTTTACACCGAGCCCAATCAGCATCACAAAAGGCTTGTAATTGTAGTGAACCTGTAGAAGGCAAAAGAATTCCCTGTCCAGGAGATTGTTTGATGTACCTGAGAACCTTATGCACCGCTTCAATGTGAGGTTGTCGTGGCTTGTCCATGAATTGGCTCAACATATTAACCATATAAGTTAGGTCAGGCCGCGTGATGGTTAAGTAAATCAGCCTCCCTACGAGTCGCCTGTATGAAGAAGGATCATGTAGGAGCGTCCCATCAGTTTGTGTAAGGGACAGGTTTGGTTCCATTGGTAATCGTGAGGGCTTCGCACCAAGGAACCCAGCATCTTCTAGTATCTCCAACGCATATTTGCGTTGGCACAAGGCAATCCCTTGTTTAGATCTTGCAACTTCTATCCCCAAAAAGTATTTGAGTTTTCCCAAATCCTTTAGTTTAAAATGTTGGGAAAGGAAGAGTTTAGTCTCTTCAATTTCTCTCAAATTGTTACCTGCAAGTATCACGTCATCAACATACACAAGTAATGCCATAAAACTGCCTTGACGGTTTCGGACGAACAATGAGTAATCTGACCATGATTGATGAAAACCAGTAGTCTTGAGAGCACTAGACAGCTTGATAAACCATTGTCTCGAGGCCTGTTTTAAACCATAAATGGATTTGTGTAATTTGCATACTCGTGTCTCCCTCTTTCGTCCGAACCCAGGAGGCAGGGACATATAAACCTCCTCGTATAAGTCACCATGCAAAAATGCGTTGTTCACATCAAGTTGATGAAGATGCCAGCCTCGTATGGAGGCAATACTCAGGAGGACACGGACGGTGGTGAGCTTGGCAACTGGAGCAAAAGTTTCCCGATAATCAAGCCCCTCAATTTGACTGTAGCCTTTAGCAACGAGACGAGCTTTGTAGCGTTCAACACTGCCGTCAAGTTTAAGCTTCACCTTATAGATCCATTTGCAACCGATGGGATGTTTGTGAGGTGGTAAGGGCACAAGAGTCCAAGTGCGATTGTCATGAAGGGCAACAATCTCTTTTTGCATGGCGTCACGCCATTTTGGATCCTGAACAGCTTGCGAAAAACTGATGGGTTATTTGATAATGGTGAGGGTGGTGAGAAAGGTTTTGTGAGTGGGGGATACATGGTCATAAGATAAATAACGAGATATGGGGTGAGATGTACCTGATGACTGGACCATGCTTGTGGAAGATGTGGGAGCAACACGGGAAGGGAGGGGCCACCTCAACATGAAAGTCCTGCAAAAATGTGGAAGTTTTTGGTCGGTCGAGTGCTACGACGGAGTGGAGGTGGTTGGTCTGGTGATGGAGTGGTTGGAGGTGGTGAAGAGTGTAGGGTATGTGAAGGTGTTGATAAGGTATCTGGTGGTGGAGTTGTAGTAGGTAAAGGAGATGAGAGTGGTGTGATGTCGGCAAGTGTGGGAGAGGTGATGTTTATTTCTTCGGGTGCAAGGCTTGAGTGCGACTCAATGGGAGAGGTCAAGTCAAACGTGATGGGTGAGGGGGTGTAATGTTTTGATGGAGAC